TCCCTAAGATCCCACAGGTCATCAGGCAGGCAGTCCACAGGTGGAAGTAAACTGTCATGTGCAAGATCCTTCTGCAGTGAACTCTCATCCTCCAGAGTCAGGAGTTGGTAAGAGGGCCYCAAAGACAGCAGCCCCAAAGAGAGCAGCCAAAGGAATCTCTGTGGACTGGACACTACCAGGTACAGAACACCACAGCAGCACCTGCAGCCAAAGCTGGATCCTGACAAGCAACATCACACTCAAATACCTGGTGCAATGTTTGGAGTGTACCACCCACCACCACAGTCTCCTTATGGAAGAAGGGGATTAAAGTCATCCTAAAGGGAAACTGATAATTCCCTCCTCAAAAATCCCCTCTCCACACCAAGACGATCATCCAGAACTTAACCTTTCACATTCATGGTACAATGTGATTGCTCCCCCCTAAAAGGCAGGAGCTGCCATAGCTGAGGCAAGAGAAAGGACAAAGAAACAGGAAAAGGTGACTGCAACCTGTCCAATCGAATGGGAAATCCACAGAGCACTCCTTGCAGTCACAGAGAAACGCATGGCCGCCTTCATGACCACATTCCTTTTGTGTCATTAAAACATACACCAGCACTCTCCCAGTTTTGGGACCACCAGCTTTAGCCTCACCTTCATTGCCAGGAGTAACATCAGCAGCTCATCTAAAGGGGCAGAAGCACATCTTGCTGCAGCAAGTGGAAGACAAGTGATCCACACCACTGAAAAAATCTCCCATTAAGATGCTGGCACGTGATAGGAAAAAGATTTGCTTAATTATCCCATGGTAATTCCCAGTTTTATCCACAGGGGGTCAGACTTTGCCAAGGCTTATCAGCTTTCCCCACGAGCAGGTCAGGGCAAACCCCACTGCTGTGAGACCAGCAAAGCCATTGTTTTACTAGCCTAGCTTAGGTTTTGGCTTAAGACCCTTCTGTGCTCACTGATGATCCTCCAACGGTTACTCTGCCCGCCCTACCAGTGCAAATCTCCTCTCTAAGMTTTTGGACACCTGTGAGGACAGCTCTCCTGAGAGGGATCATTCCATCCACTCAGCCACTCCTCACATGTTCTTCTTTCCTTGCTTTCATGCTATTTCCCCATCCAGCCTTCCAGTCGCTCCACTGCCCCTGCCAAAAAGCCTCCATTATATCCAGCGCCTAGTCTATAACTCCAGCTCGGTTTCCTAAAAAAAATGAGACATATGCAACTGTATGTACCAGAAAAATTTCTGTTCCTGTATGTTCTGGAAAAAGTATGCTCAGGGGGAATAGGATTCCCACTCTAAGAAATAGCTCACTTGTTATTGGTCTTCAGAGAACAGGTCTGCAGAGAGAGGAGCCACCATCAAGACCCAAAGATCACAGGCTTCATTGCACTTGTGGAACACTGCACATGAAAGTGTTCCAAAACTCTGGGAACTTGCAGGATATAAACAAGATCCTTCTTTCATCCCTAGAAAGCCTTTGCAGACTCACTGCCTTCCATGTCCATGGAGTCACCAGGTCCTGCTCTTTATTTGAACCACTGCAGGGTTTAGGATTTAGAGGGCCTGTAAACTTCCTTGGCTTCTGTAAAACTGTCAGCAATAAACATCTTCCTCCAGGAACAGGAGGAGATGCATTCAAACATGTTTTCTACCAGCCGTCAGCCAGCTACTCAAGCAAGATTTTCTCCCTCTCTCACACAGTCACAGACAGTTCAAYAGCCTGAACATAGGCTGATAGTGATTACTTATATAGCCAAGCAACCTCCGAAGTTTTACAGCACACAGCATCCACTCTGCTCACATAATTTTCCAYTATTTCTGCCCATAAAAGTCCACACACTGCTGTCTCCTTTTATACTGGCATCACACAGGCCCCTCTCCTGAAAGATTCCCCACACTGATCTTAMCTCTGCCTCTTTGAACTCTATCCCTCTATGGCACCCAGAGTACTGGAATTCAGTAAAACTATCAGGCAATGCAGAGGCTTTGGTCAGCATTATAACCCTAAAATATCTCTTRATAATGCACCACTGAGTATCAGGACAGAAGTTAGGAGACAGCCTTCAATTAATCATACTTTCAAAACACTGAGAACAACTGGCTAAACTGTGTTCAGCTCCAACCACAGTTCACATCTCAGCAGAGAAACTCCAGGAGTCCAGTCCCTCTCCTTGTGCCTGCTCTTGCTTTTCCAAAGCCTGTCAATCCCCAGCTTTTTTTGCCTCATGTGAACACCATYTCTCTGCCTCAGTTTCCTAGGTGGGACATGAGAATACCAGCACTGTTTTACCTCAGAGGGGCACAATGAGCCCAAATATACAAAATACTTAGGTCCCATRTACTACAGTGAAAGCATCTATAAATGCTGAAGACAGATGAAATTTCTCCATCCTCCTAAAATATCTTAACAAATGCTGCCACATTTCTCTCTGTCCTCACACCTCTCAATCTACTTCTAACCTCTCTTAAATGTGCTTTCCTTGCTAGTTCAGCTTCATTTAGCACAAGGAACATAATGCTTTACATCTACAGAAGTGCYCTCTAGGATCCTGCAGAATCAAACACAAGTGAATATAAAATAATGTAGTACAATTTCCAATTTATATTTGGATTGACAAATTATTTTCCAGCACAGCCTCTGGAAATAGTTCTCATGCTCCACAACATGAGTTTATTGCTRTTCACAGTAGCATTAGACAGTCACAAGGAAGCCTTAAAGGAAGCATATTACCAGGATTGCTTAGTACTTCCCCCCAGTTTGGAACTCATGCCTCCTTTGGAGCAGTGGGACTGCCTGGCCACTATCAGAGGCACAGCACTGCCCAAGATCCCACTGACCATTTCTCACAGCAGAGCAGTTGCTGTGTCTGCAGGACTTAACAGGGGCCTGTAAGAAAGGTGGGGACAGCCTTTACAGCTGGGCCTGTAGCAACAGGACAAAGGGGAGTGATTTTAAACTGAAAGAGGGGAGATTTAGCCTAGATATTAGGAAAAGGTTTTTACAATAAGGGTGGTGAGGCCSTGTCACAGGCTGCCCAGAGAAGCTGTAGTTGCCCCATACCTAAAAGTGTTCAAGACTAGGTTGGACCAGGTTGGACAGGGCTTGGAGTAACCTGGCAGAGTGGAAGGTGTCCCTGCCCATGGCAGGAGGTGGGACTGGATGGGCTTTAAGGTMTGTTCCAACCCAAATCATGCTAGCATTTTACCTTGCCTCTAATCATTGCCCAGTAGCTTTAAGAAAATACAAAAAAACCCTCTTAAGATCCCATTTAAAATGCAACTGCAAATGGCTCCAAGTCCTCTGTGTGTTTTATGTTTCATTATCATGTTTCGTACTTTCCTTGTGGTCCTTTGTGGTTTTCTTTAGATTGTAAACCTTCCAGGTAAGAGATTTGTTATCTCTTTGGCAAGATCCTGCCATACCAAGCTGTGTACATTTACAGCACCATATAAAAGATTAGTGCTTTATTGGCCACTGAAGCATTGCTAGTTAATAATCTTTAATGTGGCTGTTATTTTTCCAGTCGTAAACAGAACACTAGTGCCAAGTCAAGTCCAATAAACACTATGGAAATCCCTCATCTTGAAAATGAACCAATTTCTGTCCCGGAACTTACAGGCTCTACAAAAAAAAAAAAAAAAAAAAAAAAAAAAAAAAAAAAAAAAAAAAAAAAAAAAAAAAAAAAAAAAAAAAAAAAAAAAAAAAAAAAATCACATTGTTACTGAGCACAAAAGTATCCAGATTTTAGAGCTTTCCTAAAGCAACAATTGTTTCTCACATTTGCACTGAGCTTTTCCCAGTCGCGAGGGCAGAAGCACAGCCCGAGTCCTCCTCATTCAGCACTGCTCAAAGAGCCAAGCAAAGGCTAAGGCTTAATATCCACAGCCTATGCAGTGTACCCTCTGTGTTACCTCTGTGGCTGGAGATCTATACAGCTGACATCAGGAAAGGCCCTGAAGGAGCTGGTCCTGCGGAGGTGTGATGATTCTGCTCTGGCTCTTTAGAACGGAACAAAAGAGAACAAAGTTATGAAACCACAACTTTGAAGGACACCATAAAACAAACATCCATCTAGGGCAATTCCAAATGTGTAATTCATAGAATCSCAGAATCTCAGAGTGGTTTAGGTTGGAAGGGACTTTAGAGCTTATTTGGTTCCATCCCCTTCCATGGGCAGGGACACCTTACACTATSCCAGGTTGCTCCAARYTCTGTCCTACCTGGCCTTRAACACTTTCAGAAATCCAGGGGCAGTCACAGTTTCTCTGGACAGTGTGTGCCAGGGCCTCACTATTCTCTGAGCAAAGAATTTCTTCTGAAAATCTAATCAAAACCTACTCTCATTTATTCCCCTTAGCAATTCCCCCCTGTATTTCTGCTATTTCAATAAAGCACACTATTCATAAATTTGTGAGTGAAAGTTTTTATTGAACGTTACCAGACTCACAGTGTCAAACATCCTGTGTTTGAGAACCTGTGCTCAGAGAAGTTCCTACTGAACACRACCACTTGTAGTGCCAAATTGGTTATAATCAGAGATCAAGCCCAGTCACACCAAGCTTCTCTGATCTGTAATGACCAACTGGATCACAAGGGGGTTCTTTTCTATCCAATTTCTATATTCTTATCACAGCACTGTCCCAACCACCCTGTCTGCCCACACTTCTCTTTACTGCAACCCACCACCCCTCACAGTCCCCATCAGCCCTTTCAGCCTTCATCACCACTCACAGTCCCTCATCTTTGACCTGCACACCCCTTACAGTTTTTCACTGTCCCCCTCACAGGCCCCTGATCCTTCACAGCTCCCACCGCCCCTCACAATCCCCATCCCCTCAC